TTCTTATTTCCTCTTTTTTCACACTAATTTTCTTGGATAATAATTTGCCCCAAAGGAATGTCTTGGTGTCTTTTGAATTTGTTCGTTAATTGTAAATATAAAATTAGAAAAAACATTCAAACTTAATAAAAGAATCAAGAACATCCTACTTGTTTTTAATTCCTAGGATCTTATTATAAACAGGTATCTAACAAACAAGGAAAAAAAATCATTTCAGATACCTTCAGCTTTTGTTTTTTAAGCCTCTGATACTCTTTTTATTAATTTATTAAAAGACAATTAGAAACACAAAGGTAGTTATTAAAATGACTAAGAAGAGAGTGTTAAGAGATGTAGTAATCATAATCATGGACACTGGTAAGTTACTTCATTTCTCTAACATGGAGATAACAACACTCATAGGTTGTCAGAGGATTAAATGAGAAAACATAAATAAAGCCCTAGCACATGCATGTCTACTCAATAAATATGTTAACATATTTGACTAGCACAGACAAAAATACTCAGATGGTTAATAATCCTAAAATTCAACTTAGTGTGTAATTCCTTCTATACTCCTCAAACAGTATCTCTTCCACAATTCCATGTGTGTGGAATGAGGAAAGCATATTACTTAGATTCATTAAGGGCTAAATATTTGTTCAGCATCCCACCCGATGCAAGATAGCAACAAGAAAGTCCAAAACACAGTGTTTAATATATATATTTTTTAAAGATTTTATTCATTTATTTGACAGAGATCACAAGTAAGTAGAGAGGCAGGCAGAGAGAGAGAGAAAGAAGGGAAGCAGGCTCCCGGATGAGTGGAGAGCCCAATGGGGCCAGCCACCCAGGTGCCCCACACAGTGTTTAATATTTTAAAAAGATAAAATCATTTCAGGGTGCCTGGGTGACTCAGTGGGTTAAAGCCTCTGCCTTCGGCTCAGGTCATGATCTCAGGGTCCTGGGATCGATGGAGCCCCGCATTGGGCTCTCTGCTCAGCACAGAGCCTGCTTCCCCCACCCCTCTGCCTGCCTCTCTGCCTACTTGTGATCTCTGTCAAATAAATATACAAAATCTTTAAAAAAAAAAAAAAAAAGATAAAATGATTTCAATGAAAAACTTTTACCTAAATATTAAGGATATTTGACTAAAAGTAAGAACCAAGTTAAAATTTACCACAGAAATATTGAATACATTAAAGAGCTGATTTGATAAAACTAATCTTTGACTTTCACTTCTCTGTTCTACTTCTATACATGGGGCATTTATTCTTACCTAAATTTTATACTGTCACCTGGATAGACTTCTTCTAAAGGCCTATCAGACAAGTGAAAAGCATACAATTTATCATTTCTAAAGTTTAAAATATGTAATAGGGAACTGAGCAATCTTAAAGAACCAGGAGATACGTAGTCAGTCATATGGAGCTCATAGTTGTCTATCCACTGTTTGGGTCTAGTCTTACAAACACAGCATCTCAGTCCTGAAGAACCTACTAAGAACTACACAAGTACATTATAATCATTCACATAGTTAAATATTAACTCAATCATTCCAACAGCCCCACAAAGTATTGTTATTCCCATACAACAAAAATTCAACCTTTACTGAGTACTTACAACACATAGAGAAATAAGACAATGTCACTACCAGGCACTGTAACTAGGTGCCAGGGGTAGTTCAAAAAAAAAAAAAGAAAGAAAAGAGAAGGAATACAACATGCACAAGATGGTGGCTGCAGTTTAGAAGCAAAGTGCAAATACTTCTGCTCTGGCGATTATAGTTTTAGTCTGTCAATAAATATTTACTAGGCATCTAATCCCTTGAAAGTTATATATCATCAGGTTATATCTTAATCTAACATATTCTAGAAACTTGCTAGAGATGAGCTGATTGAGGGAATTACTTTTTTAGTTACACAGATGGTAAACAGCCATTATCTAGATTTTAGATTTGTTTATAAACTTATTTATTAACTGTTTTTAGAAGCAACCTGCCACACCTCAATGTGTTATGAAACTTGACCAATTCATTCAAAACAGATTTAAAAATTCCTATGATGGGCCCTTCTCCTCTAGAACCTGGTTTTATTATTCATCCCCTCTCTCCCTCTGTTTTCAACCTCCAACGATAATATTCGCAAGGCTCTTCTTTCCAGCCCACAAACACATTCAGTTTTTCCCATCTTTCAGATGGGTTACCACCCAAATCCCTCCCACCTTCAAGGTCAAATAGTGCTTTACTCTCACTGTCTTCACTTTCTTACCATACATCCACTAGCCTACTACCATCTGGTTTCTGAATTTATTGATGCTGCTCTTACAAAGCCACCAATAGCCTCTGGATTACCAAAACCAAGGTGTGCATTTTAGTCCTTATTTTACTTAACCTCTCTCTTGCACTTCTTGATATTGTTCAATAGTACTCTTTTCTTTAAATTCTAAAAGTGATGCTAAGATGTTATTTATTTTTTTGCATCTTCTTAACCATTCCTTCTCTCCCTTGCTGGCAGGGATCTGCTGAATTTCCAGCCCATTCTTGCCTTTTTATTAAACTCTATAGCCATACAGCTAACTGCCTAAAGATACCTCCTTTCCGTGACCTAAAGACCACAAACTCAATACACCCAAAAGTGTACTGAGCTTCAACCAAGAATTTGCTTTTCTCCTTAGTGATGTATCTTGACAGAGATACCACTACCAACCTGTCGGAAATATGGCAGTCCTCTTAGAGTCCTCCTGCTTCTTCACCGTCCAAGTACATTCTAATTTCTATGCCTCTCTTCTCCATTCCCACTGCAATTAACTTTAGGCCCTCATAATTCCCAAGCAACATATCTCCCTTCCTTCAATTATGACCTTTCTAATCCATCCTCTACACTACTGACAAAATGAAAATTTCTAAAAAGTAAATCTAATTATATTATTTACTTGTTTAAAACCCTTAAATGAGTCCCCACTCCAAATGGTAGGCATTCTGGGCTTAAGAAGAAACTATCCGATAACTCCAAATTCTGTACCTACAAATATGTTTTTTCCTAAAGAAAGAACCCAAGTTATCAAAGATTAACCCCATAGTATAAACTCCTAACTCTCTATAAGTCCTATGAAACCTTTCAGAATCATCTCAAACTATACCCTCCTTTCCAGTATTAAGTTTAAGTCAACCCCAACTATTTTAAGTTCTCAAACAGGGCTATGCTGCTTCAATTTTTCACACTGCTGAACCCAAGTTTCTCTTTCCCTGGAAAGCCACGCCCTACATCAGCCCTAAGTGAACACGTACTCATCCTTCAAATGTTCTTTCATCTATGAAATCCTCCCTAGTTCCTGCAAGCAACTGATTTCTTCTCTCTTTCACCTAATACATTTTGCTTATACTTTTATTAAAGTATTTATTGGAATCTCTTATGTAATGGTATGTTGTTCACACTAAAAGTAGTATTTTTTCAAAAAGCTTAAACAGGATATTTTTCAAAATACATCAGACCTATCTACGATCACTAATAAACTTATCACTAATGTTTTAAAATATCAAGGAAAAAAATTACGTCTATGTTTTAACAAAAAACTGACAAATAATGTAAGCACAAACATAAATGGCCTCATTTATTAAGTGAAAACTTTAATTACAAATGTAATTAAAACCCTCAAAGACTTTTTCTTAACCTTTATATTTGATAAGCCCAATTAAACATGATTTTCCTCCTGCAATTCCGTATTTTTATATACTCAAATACTTTTCTTTATATTTGAAAATGGGTTTATAGAACCCTAGGAGTGAGTGTGTGTGCATAATACATATATATATATAACATATATTTATGTGTCTTTAAGGTAAACATTTGTGTGAAATCAGCACTATTTCAGTTTTCAGAGAACAAGTAAAACTTTGGAGGAAAGGTAGGGATCTTCCTGAAAATCAGCTTCTTGAGTACCCATGTGGGAATTTGTTTCTGTGTGACTTTAAAAAAACAGCCTCAGTCTTTTAACACAGGCAACTGGAAGTTCTTCCTCGTCACCACTTGAACACTAAAATATAGGGTTAAAGAGTTACGGATGTAAATGTCGCTGGCTATAAAAACAACCTGCTTGCACAGTGGACAGATGCCAGCTGCCTATTAATCCGGGCCCAATAATGAGCCCTGAAACATGTACGAGGCCACGAAATCTGAAGCAAATGTGCGGTGCCTGATGTATTCGCTTAACTCCTCCAAGTGACTGATCACTGCCAAGGTCGAATTAATAAGTCTCCTTTGATGTTAATGATTGAGAGGTTCCCCGGAAAGGACGGAAAGCTGACTGCAGGACATTGGAAATACCTAAACGAACTTGATGGCGACTCCTACTAGTCTGTGTTTGAGTGGACGTGACTGACTTAGACGCGTTTTGTAAAAGACGCCCCCCCCCCGCTTGCCTGACCCGCTGTTTATTTTTGTCCGTTTTTAACTTGGAGCCGTATCAAAAGCAAGCTACGAACGGACTGCTCGGCAGCTCACTTGGAGAAGGCACAACCAGCTCTCGACGGAGCGCGGCCTGCAGTCAGCACCGGGCAGAAGGCACCGGCTGGCCCTTTCCGCAGGCCCTTTCCGGCCCCCAGGTTTCGGTTAGACCGCAACAGGAAGTTTTCTCTTCCCTTGCGGGAAGCCGTGCAACCAAAGAGAAATTTGAACTCCCACTCCAGCGGGAGCACCCAGAGGTGAGCCTGGGTGTGGGAGGGCGGCCTCGGCCGGGACGGGACCGAGGCGGTGAGGGACTCGTGATTCGACGCGGACCGCGGCGTCCCCGCCCCGCGCAGGCTCAGCCCGCGGCCTCCCGTCCCCTCCCCGCTGTCCCGACCCTCCCGAGGGCGGCGGGGGCGGTCTCGGGGCCCGCGCGGGGTCGGACGTCCCTGCTCTCGCTCCCGCCGGGGCCCCCGGCCTCTCAGTCGAGGGCGCCCGCCGGGCCAGAGTGGGCGCGGGCGCGGTCACGGTCACGGCGGCGCGATTCCAGGCCTCGCTGGTGCGGGCTGCACTTACCCACTCGAGGACCTTGATGAAGCCCAGCGGCTCCTTGAGCGGGTTAATGTTGAGCTGGAAGGAGGACATCCTCTGAGATAAGGAAGGAGAGAGAGTCAGGACTGCGGGGCGGAAAAGGAGGGGGACCGACGAGACCGAGCAGCAGGGCCGCGAGGAAGGCCAAGCGGGGCGGGCTCTGGGAGGTGGGCCCGGGAGACCGTAGGGCGGGGCGGCCCGGGGAGGTGGGCCCGGGAGGCCTCGGGGCGGGGCGGCGGTTGGGCCGCTAGAGGAGGCGCTGAGGCGTGGACGCGAGAGGGGCGGTGGCGGGAGGCGAGGGTTGGGCAGGGGCCGGAAAGGGGAGGCGGCTTCCCGGGCAGCACCTGGCCGAGCCGGCTGATCCGCTGGCGAACCAAGTAGATGTTGGACGCCATGCTGCGTGCGCCGCGCCCCCTTCCCTGATGTCCAGCCCCCCGGCGCTCCGTCTCCTCCCGCGCATGTGCGCTCCCACCCCGCACCTGCGCAGCGCGGTCCGCCGCCGCGCGCAGAACCTTCGCTCGAGGATAGTCCCGCGCGGTCAGTACCCGGCAGCGGCTTTCTTCCAGCCTCTTCTGTTCGCAGTTCCCAACTTGTAGACGGACTTACAAAATATTATTATAGATGAAGCCACGTTTCAACGCTGGTGTTAGGGGCCTTTTGCCAAAATGGAAAGTTGTTACAGAACAAGTCGAAAGCGTTACATCACACATACTTACAGAAATTGAGTTCATTGCCCAAATTATCATCATTGGAGGCAGAGTTGAAGGATGTATATCGAATAGAAAAAACGCGTGGGCGGACCGCCTCCTCCTGACTCACCTACCCACTTCCTACCCTATCCCGCGTGTCCTCAACTTGGGGGGCTCTAGGTGTCTTTCTACAGAAGGCTAATTCCTCCTCCTTTTCAAGATTCGGCTTAGGTGACGCTTCTCCTCGGCACCCAGTTATCGGACTCCCTGTTGTGACCTCCTTGGCGGCTTCCCCAATATTTTGAGGTCCTTGGAGAGCTGGAGTGGTGGCCTGTTGCCGTGTATGGTAAGATGGTTAACACCGTTTAACACTTAGTAAATAAGGAATTAGCACAGTAGGGTCCCAGTACCACCTTGCAAGCACTTGCCTATGAATTAGGTTCCTTGCCATTGTAGGAGGGTTTGACAACTGTTACTGGGCATCTTTCTGAGTGCACCTGAGACCACTGTAAGTGGTAGTCCAAGTCTTCCGCTGCTTCCTCTATTGTTTTTCTTTTCTGTTCCGTTTCTGCACTTTTTCTCCTGACACTCACTTACCGGAGCTCCAATGTAGCGGATCTCCTTACTGCTTCTCCTGATGTGTTCTCTTTAGTCCATTTTTTACAAACTTTTATTTGTGTTTTGCTGAGGCCTGGGAGTGGGTTGTGGATAGTAGTGCTCTTTCAGGTTTCATAGTCACAAAGATTCAGTGTTAGATTAGACTTTAACATTTCCGAATGAGCTATACACTGCCAGATCTGAGCGCTGTTCGATTTGCAATTTTATTTATTACCTTTAAAAATCTAAAATATACTGTAATTTAGTGACCCAGCTTTGGCATTTAGTTTTTCATTTTTTGAAGGTCTAAGAAATGAGAATTGGCTAGACTCTTTCTCAGCTTCTGAGAAGATTGATTTTGTGTTTCCACTTTTGTGCTCCTCCTTGCTCTCTCTCCTGCTTCTCATCCCAGAAGTGGAAGGTATGGTTGTTTATGTCCAGAAAACCTTTAGTGCTAGAGTTTGCACCTTGAACTTTAAGAAATTCTCATCCTTAGCTATGTGCCACTAGTTTTGAAAAGATAGAGACCACTCAAGGTGAGCAGAAGAGCAGTATTTGGTCACTTGTCGGGATTAATTCGCAGGATCTGACTGGGCCACACAAAGCAGGAGTGAATTACTACAGTTACTTTGTGTTATGTAGAGCTTAGCACCACTTTTGCCAACCATCTCAGTTCAGAGGAACGCCCACTTTCCTGAGAAGGAGCTGGTAGTGGCTGGCAGAGCAAGTGAGATCTAATTAGGCAACCAGATAGTTGTAAATTTTTTTGATCCTGGAAAAACAAGAGTGTTTAAACAATAGCATCTTCACTGAAGGCACAACTGTTCAAAATCTGGGAAGAATGTTCAGATGACTATTATATTGACTGCAACACTGGTCATTTTCTGATTTGTTCTTCAAATCTGAGCTAAGAGCCAGTACCCCTAGGCACAGCGTGTTCTACTCTCTACTCGGGCTGTTATGGAAAGTAGTATTTGTAATGCAAAATTGTCCTGTCTAAGGTAGTATTATTGAGTCCTATCCGTGGTAGTATAATTACGGCTGATTTGTCTACCTAGCTTGTCATTATTTTACTTTATCTTTGCTCTTTATAAAACATGTACCAGGTTATGATACTTGGGCTTTAAGGATGTCAAGAGGTGAGAAGGAAACTATGTTAGGGAAATCATATTGCTGACTAACTTCCTTTGTGTTTCTCCATGGTAATACCAAGTGCTGGTCATTTTACTAGAAAGACGAGACTTTGAACTCATTCTCAATCAATATTGTCTTTCTCCTGAAAAGAAAGTGTTTATTACTGCTGAATTCAAAACCTGAACTTCGTCAATAAACACAGTTCTTTTCTTTTCACTGATGTAGTCAACAATCATTTTAGGAAGATGTAAAAATTGGGGTCCTCGCATGGCTCAGCCGGTTAAGCTTTTGGCTCGGGTCCTGATCTTGGGGTCTTAGGATCGAGCTCCACATCGGGTTCCCTGCTCAGTGGGGAGTCTGCTTCTACCTCTCTCTCTGCTCCTCCCCCCTGCTTGTGCTCTCTCTCTCTCTCTCTCACATAAATAAACAAAAAATCTTTTAAAGAAACTGTTTTAGAAAAATGTAAAAATCACTCTACATTTATTAAATTGTGCAATAGATTAACTCAGAGGGCCCGGTAAATTAATCTCAAAATAATTAAACTGAACTCTTTTTAAATTAAATTTTAATTTTAAAAATAATTTTCAATTTACAGAAAAGTTGCTATATACACTTCACCCAGCTTCTTCTAATATCTTCTATTACCAAGAGATGTGTCAATACAAGGAAATTAACATTGATGTATTAATATTAACTAAACTACAGAATTTTTCAAACTTCACCACTTGTCCACTAATTTTTTTTTTTTTTTAACCACTCCAGGACCCAATCTGGGATATCACTTTAAACTAGTGAGATCTTTATTGAAGGGATTTTCAGGAATGGAGGGAAATGAAAAAGACAAAATAATTTTCCTTTCTCTTGAAGACTGAACAGAATGCACGAGGATTTGGTAAATGGCAAATGGCTTTGACCCCTTTTGGTCCTGCTCATTAACTATCTGGTGTTAGTACCTGCTTCCCCTTGGTTGTCTCCCTTCACTGTCCATTTCCCAGCAGGTGGCAGTGACCCACTGTGGCGTATGATTGATCCAGCTGTACACCTAAAGCCTGGTGTCTGCTCTCATAGCTGTGGGCCCAACACCCGTTGCACTAAATGTGAGTTTCTTGAGCACAGGAGAGCCCTCTTGCCGCTCCCAAGTCCATTAGAGCAGTGGTTACAATTTGGTGGTCAAAAGCAGGGCTGTGTTACCAGACTCCTGGGTTTAAACCCTGCCTCTACTTTGTGACTTTCAGCAAAGGCTTTCACCTTTAAGTTTCCCTTTTCTCATTCCCATTTTGCAGAGAGGAAATGAGTGTTGTAGTGAGGTTTACATTTTATAGTTGTCAGAGATCATAGGGAAGAGGGCCCGGTACAGAATAAGCGCTTAGTAAATGTTACCTGTTATTATCACTGTGTTCCAGAAACTGTGGGTGGCTCAGTCTCCCAACTGGGTGGTCAAGAAATAACCAAAACTCAATGTTAGAGCAAAAGCATAAGGATGTCAAACTTTTATTTATTGTCCACAAGAGGATGAGAGTTGTAAGGAAGACTATTCCATTGGTAAAAGGAAAGAACTATGAAACTTGGTAATAGGATTCTAGAAAGCAAAGAAAATGAAAATGTTCACTACTGCAAATCATGCGGGGCAAAGGTCACACTAATCCTCTTGGTGTGGGTCCAATTTTAATATATTTGTGGCTGAAGTGAGCACAGTTCTCATCACCATCTTAAGCTTAGCTCAAGTTTAAGCAATGAATAAACAGGAAAGATGCCCTAATTTGTAGAGATTAATTTTATAGTGACCATCACGAGCACTTCAATTAGGTTTCTAAAGAAAAAAAGCATATTGCATAATAACTTTTATAATAACTCGGAATTTGCATGGTGTTTGGCATTTTTCAGAGAGCTTTTGTACTCCCTTTTTCATGTGACTCTTGAACTAAGGGAGGGTGTTGGAATTACGATATACATTTTGTAGAGACAGAGGCTCAGAGGGATGAAAGCTTATTGGAAAGGGCCTCACAGCAGAAGTGACACAGCACCAAAGCTTGAGGGAGGTGAAGGGGCTTCTCCAGGAAGATGGGACGGGCATCCAGATAGAGGTGCAGTAGAAGGTAGGGAATGATGAGAATGGAGAGGGGAGTTCTTTTGTGGGATCAAATACCTCAGTATATCTGATGCTTTGACTAAGGGGAGCAGTGTAGAAGCTGGTTTTTGTGTGCCAGCCTAGGAGTTCAGACTTGATTCTCTGGCAGTGAGTTGCTTTGAGACAGAGGACAATAACATGATCAGGTTTCAGTTTAGGAATATCACTATGGCGGTAGAATAAAAGATAAGCTCAAAACATAGTTAGTGGGTAGGTTCAAGAGAGCTGAATTTTCTTTTTTCTTTCTTTTTCCTTTTTTTTTTTTTTGACAGAAGGATAGAGAGAGAGAAAGCACAAGTAGGCAGAGTGGGAGGGAGAAGGAGAAGCAGGCTCTCCATTGAGCGGGGAGCCTGATGTAGGACTTGATCCCAGAACCCTGGGATCATGACTTGAACCAAAGACAGAAGCTTAACTGACTGAGCCCCTCAGGCGACCCTGAGAGCTGAGGTTTTCTAAACCTGCTGGTCATGGGATCTCAGGTCCCAGACGGGTGACAATGAGCAGAAGCAGCCAGCCAGGTGAGCGCCGGCAGCAGAGTACTGCCTGCAACAAAAGCACGAGATTTAGGTGCAGAAACCACTCATTCCTGCTCTGGCTTCATCAGACTTAGAAATTTTCCCAAAGCATTGCCATTTAATTTCCTTTTGCTTACCTCTCTGTGTAATGAGAGTGTAGTATTTGTAGAGCATCAACTGAAGTATGTCAATTAACATGGGTGGAGTACTTCCAACAACAAATCAGGACTGGGGGATGAAGAAAATGTGAAAATGTCTCAGGCTGGTCCCCCAATCCTACCCAGGCTGGAGGGTTCAGCAGGTGGCCTAAGCTATGTAGCAGGGTGGCTATG